ATGGTGCAAGGATCAAAGCAAGAATATCGACTGCCATGATGTGTGAGCTTCAATGCTGTATGTATACTGGGACCGTTTCGTAGGTTCATTCACAATGGTGCCTACTTGGCCCCGAGACTTGTAAGCACTCAATTCGATCATCGACAAGAGTATGGACTCCGGTCTGAAATTTGTGCTGGCATTACTTGAGTCTTCTTTAATTAGGAGATATTAGTTGCACCAGGTTTAAAGGTGCTTTCACATACATAACAAATTAGCAAGATGTAATTTTTCGATGGTGGAACTTACCATCTCATTCCATTCACATCTTTCGGGAAGTTCTTGAGGCTATCAATCACTCAGGGAGTTGCATCAATGTAGAGAAAGGAGTTTGAGAAACAGAAACAGAAAATCATAATATGCAGTAAATGAGCCACATTGGCACTTGGATAAAAGTCAAGATGAGCCATTAGTGGGTGTCATGATCAGTAAAATTCCAGTCAAGCATTGTACGCTTCCAACTCTTTCTCTGTCCACTCCCACAGCTCATCCGCCAGCTTTTCATCTCCTGTGTACTTGTTGCCATTGCCAGAAATTCCAACAGGTGTGTAATACTCGCCTTTCAAAACCTCGCCTTTTGCACTACCCTTGTTTGCTATAGCAGCCCAGAGTTGATTTTTTGCTCCGTCAGACATACTTGTAAAAGCCAAATCTCTCACTAATCCGCCCACTTTTCCAAACACTCCATATTTCTCCAGAGCCGTCGCATACAAATTTGTGTTGACTACTCCCGGATGAACCGATACAGCTGTGATGCCCCTCTCACCATATCTCTTGTTTAGCCCTTTGGCGAAAAGAATGTTCGACAGCTTGGATTGTCCGTATCGGGAAGCTGTTGTATAGCCACTCATATCCGTTTTGAGATCGTCGAATTTGATACCCCCAGCAGGACCTAATGTATGACCCAAACTACTCAAGGAGATAACTCTCACATCTGCATCTTTCTGCTCTGCCGTCTTCAACAAGTTGGGTAGGAGGAGTTTCGTCAAAAGAGCATGTCCAACATGGTTTGTGCCAAATTGTATTTCATAACCTTGTTCTGTAGTTGCCGCTGGTACCGCCATGATTCCTGCATTTAGGAACAATAGGTCGAGACGGGACTCCTTGGTGTTGAATTGTTTAGCACACTCCTGGACTGATGGGAGGGACGTGAGGTCGCAATGAATAAATGTAATTGGAGCGTTTGGTACTTTGGATTGCATCTCTTTGATTGCGGCCGTAGCCTTATGTTCGGATCGCGCGGCGAGATATATGTGCGATGGATTGTGCTTGGAAAGCTGGAGGATAGTTTCAAGGCCTAAACCAACGTTTCCTATGATAATCAGTCAGCATTGAGTGAAGAGAAGAGATAATCGATCCTTGTGTGAGATAGGGAGATAATATACCGCCTGTGACAAGAATGACTTTTCCAGAGAGATCAGGAATATCTTTTCCGGGTTTGAAGGATACACCTCCTAAGCCAAAGAAACCATAGAACATATTGAGAGTTTTGTTTGGAACAATTGAGGACAAAGGAGAAGGTACAATACAATTACTAGATTATGGCATCGCCTAGCTTGCAAGCTTGACGTCCATTTGAGAAACCAAGATAGCTCAAATAATAGTCTGAGCCATCTCGCCTTACCGAGGCACTTTCATAGTTCATTCTCTTCGACATTGGAAGAGTATAGAAAGGAATATCGGAATTGAGCATCAAGATTTGCTTCGTATCACGTAGAACCTGAGAATTGTGGAATGAGAAATATTCCCTAATGTCAGAAAAATCTATTTGTATCAAAGTTAACCTTGCCCAAGCCATTCGTTAATTCACCACAGTTTGTTTATGTAAGTTGTCTCGGTTATGTGAGAAAGACCAGAAAGATGAATAGAATTGATATTGTCTATTGTCTCAACACCTTTCAATAATTCAAGTGATTATCATAAGCATCCACTCAAGTGCCTATTCGTCCATAACTACAAAATCATTCCTTTCCTTGCCATTTAATTTCATTGATTTTTGGGGGAGGGAAACGGGGCTATTTTGCGGCCTTCTAATTACCGCAGTGTTCCAATTCTATAAAGCCCTTCGCCTTATCATGATCTTCTAGTACTGGCATGAATATGGGATCGAGATATTTACACGCTCTTTTCTAAACTTAAGAGCTTACTTTTGGTCTATGGTAGGTAATTAAGTATTAGCAGCTTGAACTAAATCAGTCCCCATGGAAATGTTAATCATCGCAATGATTCGCTTTACCGTTGAAGTCGTCGACGGTCGACCAGGCTTGCCTTTGAGGGATCGTGCCCTGCTACAGTATCGCTGTTCAAACCTCACAACTTTTTTCAAGCCACTCAATTTTTGAATTCCAGATCATATTAACTCTCATCAAATTGAAGTCAATCAAGCCAAAGCTCAAAATCTCCCGCGCGCAACAACGTAGCAGCCGATGGAAGAAAACGCTTCTACACCACTGTGGCAGCTTCCACCACCGGCACGATTCAGTACTATCAAAGCCAGCTTTCAAATACAAACCTTCAAGAACCAGAGGATTACTTAGAACAATTTCAATAGGAAGCAATATTCGCAGGTCGCTTTATCTTGAACTCGGCGAGCGGCTAAGTATGTTCGACAGAAAACCTATAGTAGTTGAAACTAAGGATTTGAACGCGAATTTAGAATGTAGCGATTTACAGCTCGATTATCCTGATTTTAGGTCGAATCATCAAGCAGATGACAGAGGATTTGGTTGCGAAAGCAATTTGTCCCAGGCCCGTACCGGCAAACACAACGGGCATTGAAGGCAGCTAAACATTCCCCGCAGTATAAGTGGTAGACAACGATTCTCCATTTATCTGTTTGAAACTTCTTGAACTCAAATGCCACATGTTCTTCTCCTCTGACGTGATCTTGAATCCAAAGTATTCAATGTTTCTTTCTCGCAAAGTTCGTTTGAGGACTTCAAGAATGCAACCCTAGGGATACGTAAAGTGAATGAAAAGCGGAGACAAAACGTGAATGATAAAGTGAAAATATTACCATTGCTCATGAATGCAGCATGTCACCTCTCTCATCTCGTTCGTGTCATCTCAGGATCCGAAAAATACCTCGTTGTTTTTGAGTTTGAACTCTCTTTGATTTAAATTTGTGAGCTGGTCGTACTGGCGAGACTGGGTAAGTCAGACAGGGTATTCGTATACACCTTGAAGCCTTCGCAATCATGGTCGAGTCTCCGTGAACCATTCGAGATGAAATCACGCCGTTACTATTCATCCCTGGCTAACAATTGCTGAAATTGTTCTTGCGCAAGGCAAATCGCAAGAGTAGATCGTATTATCGTAATGGTGATGAAAACCCTCACTACATATTGCAATCCCATAGTTCAAACTCTCTCCTTTCCTACCTTTGTATCCTTTGATCCTTGAAGTCTTACTCGGATGATCGCTAATTTGTCTCTTTCGATAAAATTAGAGCATGAAGGAAGCCTCGTTAGACCATTGGAGAAGAATCAGAATATAGTTCGAGTAGCCTAGTACGAAGGAAGCGGCGTGAATATCAAATGGTCTTTTCTTGTCAGTCGCAGCCCTGACGAGAAATCCCGGGAGACATTCAACATCGTTCACTACTGAAATGTGTTTTAAGGGAATGGCGAAATATATCTGAGGAGCTTTGTATCCAATATAGATCAAGCAGATCACTATCAAGCATCATGGGCACAAAGCATTCAGGTGGCAGTGGATTTTTTTTTTTTTAGATTTTTTTTTTTTAGGAGAAAAATGAGAATCCGGACGCGTTCGACGGCCCAAGCCAATGATTTTCACAAAACCATTTCCCTAAATAACAGCAATGTACTGATTGTTTCTCTAGATTGTTCAAATCTGGAGCAGATCCCGCGATGTGTGACTTCAATCAATTAGGCTCTATGCGCTTCAGATGAGATATCTGTTAGCTTCGTCGACCTCGGGACTCTGCGATTGTAGGAGGCTGTTATTGAGTTGCCATTTGTGCTGTACTTGCTTGTTGTGATATTGTCGCTTTCCTATCGACGTTGCCCAGCGGCAGACTTCTCGAGGATATAGGTTAATTTTATGAGCCCGGAGTGGTCTTTGAGATCTAGATGATTGAGGATATAAATGCTTCATGCTTTGCGAGGCTTCTAGAATCTTTCAAGGTCCACTGCTTTTTTGTTTTTTTTCACAGATTTCAGACCTCATGAGCTCAGCATTTAAACACCGAAATACCCGAATTGTTATCATCGCCAAGTGGTGCAAGGAGTACAATGTACAGTGCAATTTATCTGACAACGGAAAACCCGAGTTTTCATTGTTTCATATAATTTTGATATTTCTTCATTATTTACCATTGATGTTCCTTAGGTGCATGCCCTAATTTTTGTCTCACCGCTTTTAATGTCGAGGATTAATTTGTGTGGGCAGAATGGCCTGATTGATGGCAAATTCAAGGCGGTGAGACAAAAACTAGGGCATACACCTCCGTATAATTTTTATGGACTTGGTCTAAACTTTCTTCGCTTCATTGTTTTTCATAAAAACCAATTTACTCAACTCAACAAATCTGCTAGGTTCATGAATAACATGTTGCTAGCATTGATCCTGTTACGCGTTTTGATGTACGCAATAAACGTAGACTGTCTTGCCAATCGGGGGTTTTGACGGGCTTTGACGGGCTTTGACGGGGAATATCAAATTTGCTTTCCCGCACATCAAAAGTTGATCGGCTCCATAAACCCCTCTGAGCCCCTTATTTACTCAAACAGGGGCGGGTATCAATCATGGAACTACGCGTTCTGGGGAATTTCTATGGAGGCTCAGGGAGGTTAATTACGTGTTTATTAATGGTTGCTGTAGATTATAGAAAACCATTCGAGTTTAATCCCCCAAATCTGATTCCAAAATCACGAAACTTTTCTTTCCGATGTCACCATCGTTCTTTTATGTTCGAGACTCATGATCGATCATTAAAAATGTATTCTTGCATGGGATTCAACATCCCTATCAGCGTAACGACATTATCATTTCTTCTAAGCAATACCCCTCAATATCAAGTTCGAGCTGATGCCGGTTTGATCACAAGTGAAAACTATGATACCTTTAATATTGGAGGATATGGTGATTGGCCAAAACAGCATTACCATTCATCCGATTTGACATCACCCCTCTTTCTTGTCAACAAATGGAACGAGAGTGCTATCAGCAATCATTCTCATATCTTCATGTCGCCTACATTGGACGGAGAAGAGAAATCACCCATGATATTCTCTAGCAAAGATTTAAGTCTAGTCTACGCTGATTCTACATGGCATGGTGGTTCAGATACCAAGTTACAATTCTACAACGGAAAGCCTTATTTAACCTTTTGGTCTGGTATCGACTTTCAAGGCCATGGTTCTGGTGGAGGGGGTAATGCTGAATAGCTCGTATGACAAAGTCTACAATATCAGTGTGAATTCTTTAGCTGGAGGTGCGGATGGCCATGAGTTTCAATTGACGGAAGATGGAGGGGCGATGATGAATAACTACCATACTACTATTGCCGATTGTAGACCAGTAGGCGGTCCCAATGGTGGAAAAGTCTTGACAGGGTCATTTCAAGAGGTTGACATCGAGACGGGCTGGGTACGACACACTTGGAATGCACTTGATCATTTCGGCTTGAACGAATCCTTCACAACCTATGTCGACGAGGAATGGGGATGGGATTGGTTTCACATGAACAGTCTACAGAAGACCAGAGAAGGGCATTATTTGATTTCGAGTCGTCATTTAAGAATGATAGCATATATCAATGGAACCGATGGAAGTAAAATCTGGCAAATTGGTGGATACAACAATGATTTTACAGATTTGAGTGATGGAAACGCCACGAATTTCGCGTTCCAACATCATGCGCGATTCGTCAATGACGACCTGACGGAAATTACATTTTTTGATAACCACAACATGTATATAAATTCGCCGACGCCCAATTGTACAACGGATTGTTCACGGGGTATGAAGATCAAGCTTAATTACCACAACATGACGGTGAAGCTTGTACATCAATTCTATCATCCGAAAAGTGTACAGGCATGGGCTGAGGGTGGCATTCAAGCGTTGGATAATGGGAATTTCTTAGTGGGATATGGAGTTGTTCCTAGTTTTGCTGAATTTACAGATACGGGTGAAGTTGCAGCGGAAATTCAGACCCGGCCCTGGTATGTCGCCTCTGGTAGAGGTACGGACTTGTACCGCGTGTATAAATTTGATTGGGTTGCTCAGCCCTCATGGAAGCCAGTCATGGTTGAAGTTGGGCAGATTCTATACGTCAGTTGGAATGGAGCTACCGAGGTTGATTCCTGGGCTTTAGTAAGTATTTTGTTTTTGTATGGCCTTCATCCCTTAGAACTAACGAATCTCTAAAGTACGGAGGAAGCTCTCCGACCACTATGCATCATCTTCTCACCATGCCTAAGACCGGATTCGAAACTGGAGTTCGACCATCCGATTCTTCTGCTTTCTATCAAGCCGTTGCTTTAGACAAAGATGGAAAAGAATTAGATTCAACGGAAATCCTCGAAATGTATCGCCTCTCTTCTCCTACACTACTCCGTATCCCGGAAGAGTATTTGACCGCCATGAGACTCTTTCCTTTCATGTGGGCTGCTGTAATATTGATTTCAATAGCTTTGGCACGTTCGAGTCTATGGATGAAATTGCGTAAAAGAATGGGAGGTAGAGGGAGTGAGGTGGGAGAGGCTATGGAGAAAGAAAGTTAATCCAAATTACTCCCGTAACCTTTGCGGCGCGATGAATCAAGGGATTAATAGTTTTTCCTATGTATTCGGCATTGGTGGAGCATCGGAGTTGCCTGGGGCGTATGGGATGTTGCATTTTGGGGGGGGGGGGGGGGGGCGGGGGGAGGGATTATTGACATTCATCGAAAAGTATGTTTGCATGGATACCCAATTAGGTTTATTTGAATCAGGGCGCACTCAAATCTAGTAAGTTTGAATTAAAAGATTAACAATGGTCTTTCAAACGAGTGAGCGAGGAAGAATCTGTGACTGCGTTGAAGAAGTGTTGTCAAATATATACGAAAAGCACCGAAATAAGCGACATATCAAATTTTCCATGGAGTGGTATTGTTGAAGTGAAGTGTGAGGACATAGCTGACTGCACTAGTGTATCTATATGATAGCTACGTATCTCGTCGCAAAGTCGAGGGTCAAGAATTGCAGAAAACACAATCATCCGGGCCACATTGCTGAAGGAATTTGGGATGGTGATGATTAAAGGTGAAGGGGAATACAACTCTCACCTCGCTTTGCTTCCCGTGTTTGATATGGCCCAAGTCATATACTATCTCATTCAACGTAGTAAACGGCTTATTCTGTTCCATTTCATAATGGATTGCGAGAATGTTGGATGCGAAGAAATCGAATGAAATTAATTTTCCGAAGCCATCCCAATTCGTCTGACGACGCATTCTTGACATACCAACTGGGTTCCATCCGGCAACGATTACTGACTTTGAATTTTCAAAAATGTCTACGCATGAGGTGAGAACCCTTACATGAGATTGATAAGCCCAAGTATAATGTAGTTAATGGCGTGATCTGGTCGATACGAGGCATAGAGTTCTGTACATCGCTAAGGCCTAGCAAAGCTCAATGTTCGTCTAGACTTCAGACATCTGGATATCAATTAAGAAGTGACCTGGCGCTATCTAGACAGCTTTGCGGCTACGTGTATACTATTATGCCATGCGAACAAACGCGATGATGTAGGAAGACTTACTGACATATTTTACAGCGGAATCGCCCTCAGAGAAGCGTCACTTGGTTCGTTCAATCGCAATGAGTGCCGGCGGAGAGCTATTCAGGAGCCATCATCTTTGTCAAATGTATCATCAGTGTGAGTGGTCGCACTTTGGCGTAATTCCTGACCAACTCACAAATCTGGGGAAATGAAACTTCGAACTAGCGCCTCGAAGATCCGGTGAGCGAGTCTCTACCATAATCGCAAGTACGGAGTAGACGGCCGGATTTGATTCCACGTCTAATTTGAAAGAATCTGCAAGGCTGTGAAACTCTCAATGAGATTTTTTGGATGAATACCACATGAACAGTGCGCATGTACGTAGACTTAAAGCCAACCTATGCTGCAACCTTGGTCACATAATTCGACGATAGTGGATAACAGAAAAAAGATGCACACTGCAGTAGATAATGTACCCACATCGTCTCATGCAATCGATAAAGCACTCAGACCTTTCGATGGTCACCACATAAGAGAATGGAGTAGAAAATTTCCCGATATTCCTCTAGCGAGAAAAGACGTTTATGATCATACAAATAAGGGGGGCTCGAAAGAAAAATGTAACCAATGATTGTCATGAGCCGACTATCCTTATGGCGACCAGAAAATACCGGTAACAGGTCTGTTGACTTATGGTAGCTTCAGTGGCCGGAATGCGAAAGTACCAGTTTCCACCTAATGTGATTATTAATTCTTCTGTTACTTTCCCAATCATTGGCATTAACATTAGCATCGGCACCCCCATTCTTTGCTCGCTCAGAACCATAAATACATTGACGACGACCTAGCAACAACGTTTGTCTTCGAGCCAGCTGATATATTATTTCCAGAATCAGGTGTGGGCCGACAGTCTTTGTCGCTGCGGATCCCACCCAGTTAATTCTTCATTTCTGAAAATTTACTTAGATCCCAATATTGAAAACTCAAGGCGGTTACAATCTTGTGTGTTGGCCCATCCGTTGAATAAAATCTTTATGGGAGTTTATTGCTGTTCCGCAACAGCCGTTCCATACAAAAACTCTGCCAGCTCAATAGAGTAACAACAAGGGCATAGTGAGTCTCAACTTTTAAGACTCTTGGAGTCTTAACTGCGAACTCTTTTGAGAACTGGGGTAAGCACAGACGATAGGCGATAAAATTTTCTAGATACATGAACTAGAGGAGCGAGAGGAGTCTACACCAAGTCGAACAGATAAGAATGATTCATAAAATCCATAAACTTATTTGTTACTCGAATCAAAAATCGACAAGTGGATGGACGGTCTTCAGGGTTCTAAATCGTGAATGTTTCAGAACTTCTTGGGGTTCAGGGAGAAAGATCAGTCGATCCTGACGTGCAACCTTTGCCTTATCGCCTTGTTTATGAGAATTGAGAACTACTAGGTATACGGGTATGCAGTATTTATGAGAAATACTTGAGAAATCAATGAATTACAAACGAATGAAAAGATGAGGCTGGGATTGTGCGGGGAATGTATCGATAGGCATAGGTAAGAGGAGCGGTGTACTAGTAGTGTCAAGGGTACTGAGTCCTGACCGTGAGCGACGAGCGTTTAACCTTACTACTCAATACGCTCAAGCCGTTCGAAGTCAAATGGGATGTTGAAATTGGATGATAAGCAATCGAGTATCTCGGAAGAACTTGGCCAAATTCTCGTTGAAACTCTACTTGGGGTGTACAGCCAACTTTGTTAGACATTTTCATCCCGAAAGATGGGATTTGTATGATATAAGTTGTAACCATACCATTTTTATGGAGTACAGACTGTACGGTATGGAGTAACCGATGGAGTAACAGTACGGAGTAATACATCGGCAAAATTCTGGAAATGCAAGGCAATGCATCAACATGTACAGTGTTCATGTATATATGTACGGGTAACCTTAACCACCCACATAGACCGACATCCGAGATACCCTTTGCTAAGCTTGCTTACCTTTCTTTGCCCTTCTTGCTCTTCTTGCCCTTCTTGCCCTTCTTGCCTTTCCTGCCCCTCTCACCCCTGTGTGCCGTTCGCCTTGATCGAGTCTCCGAGGTTTCTGGCTCACCAGTCACTCCAACTCGTTGCTTGCACTCATTTCCCCCCAAAGTCAAGTTGTTAATTGGATGTTGTGTCTTGCTTTGATGGGTTCAATGGGTTTTAGTGGATTGGCTGGTTACTTTGGCTGGTATTTAGTTGCTTCCAAGTGGGTAATGGATGGGCCTGCAGTACCAGGGAATTCTTCGAATCCAAATCCACAAATCCAATAACACGACGCATACAAGTCGGAGGCGAGTAGTATCATTTGTGTGTTGTTTTAGTTACTTTTAGGCATGAATGACAACGAATTATTCTTTATATCGTAAAAAGAGATGAGTTTCAACGGATTATCACGGGATATGCTAACCAAATTCAATCTGACACGTCTTACCTCGAACTCCACTCCACAGCGCCACATGGTCTTTGCTTGCATGGCAGCATAAACAGCATAAACATGTACATGTAGATAGAGGAGACGAAGGAAGAGAAAAAGAGAAAAAAGAGAAAGAGCATTAATTATTTCATTTCATTAATCCTTCGTATACAGTTCATCTACCGTATCAAGAACACTTATCGAAATTGACCTTTTTATTGATATCCATTTCACCAACCCCCTTCATTTTGGTCATACATTCTCTCAATATCTTCACCTCCTTCATCCTCATGGAAAACTTTCCAACATCATGACCATCACACCAAGTCAGAAAGTCGGTCGATAATCACACAATTTTAAGATAAAGATCCACCATTCTCGAAAACCATCATCAACAATAAAGCAGACACCTCTCGCGATCAATATTAATTTCCTCTTCAATTGCCCCAAATTCTAAACACCTTCGGCGCTCAATATGTCGTTGAACGGTAGTCGATCGGTCCTGAACCGATGGAAGAACAAACGTACCTCGTCCACCGCTTCCGCACCACCTGGAACGGCCGGTGCCACTAGACCAACCACGTCCGGCGGATTAAACTCTTGGACGGAATACACTCCAAGCTCAGAAGAACCATTTCAGAAAGCTGTTGAGGAAGCTGTTTTAAATGCTCTCAATAGCGATGCCTTCAGAAATGTCATTGCGTCTCAGATTGATCCCGTGACCGCTGCTCTTTCTCGACAGCAAGAAAAGTTGAATGCTTTGAAAGCGACAACATTGAACCTTGAGTCGTCGTTCAGTACCTCAAACATTAAAGCTACTTTGGATCCAGCTTTAAAACCAATCAGTCAATTGATTGACGATGTTCCAGATACCGAGGACGACATTGGGTCTCTCGTTGAAGGTCAAAAGAAGATTTTAGAATACTTAAAGTCACTTGATGAGCGCCTGACTGGAATGGACACGAAATTTGATGAGTTTGAGGAGAAAATAACAAGCCTTGATGGAGAGATTGTAAACGCAGATTTAAGATCTGCCATCAGGTTCGGTGAATTATCCAATGAACTCCAGGACCGGAACAAGATGCTTGGGGAAAGACTGTGGTCCGTCGAAGGCGATTTGGGTAAGAAGATTGACGGTAGTCACCGGAAATTGATTGGGATGGTTGAGGATCTCGGAAAATCCAGTCGAAACGTCATCAATAAAGTTTCTTCTATGGAATTTGATTCATCGTCCTCGAACTCTAGTAAGCTCGATGAGATGTTGAATGAGAACTCCCAGATGGTTGATAGAATGGAAAGTCTGAAGAAGAGTGTCTCAAAATTGGAAGATTCCCAGAAGAACATCCAAAGCACAGAGAAAGGATTGGCTCGCAATATCCAAGAAGTCCGCGATATCGTATCTTCCCTAAACACATCATCACTGGAACACCATTCAAAGAGGTTAGACGATATCGAGAGAAGCATCGTCACTGTTCGAAAGGAATTGGAAGGTCAGGGACAGCTGGCATCCATTGACTCGAAATTATTGTCCACCAACACATCTCGTCTCAGCAACATCATCGAG